CCACAAAATCATTACTGGAGCTGTCACAAAATAATCTTCAAATTTGTTGGCCTAACTGTTATCTTTGGCAAGTATGTTTAAGCTTTTTGAAATAGCTGATGTCACTAATCAAGAATATGAAACAAAAATATTGCCTTATATTATTATGGTACAGTATGAAGGAACCAATGAAGTACACACAAAGTGGGTAATCTTATGTCTTATACATAATTTTTTTACAGAAGAATCCATGAAAACTGCTTGTAACAGTTTGTCAGTAGCAGTTTGTATGATTCTGTACTAATTAATTCAGCTCTAATTAGCCCAACTTCTCATTATAATAAGAAGTTGTTGTGTATGGTTTATATGCTGTGGACCTCGCAGATGCACCAACTTGGGCATCAGTTACCTATACAGTGCATTACAAACTTTTTAACTTGCCTTTGATTTTGTTAATGATGCTAGATTAAATAGCTATGATAAGTAATTAAAAAGCTTTTATTGGATTGATCAGTATACTAAAAAGCTAATTGTTGCTAAAGAGGTCTAATTAATTAGAGCACATCCCATGCTGTCTAGGTACATGTTTCAGATGTGTATTCAGCATCAGGGCATCAATTTCTGACAAAACCAGCCAATCTACATTCAGTTGTCTGTTCATTTGAAACTGCTTTAGTAAAGCATTTTGTTTTATCCTCAGTAACAACTTAATAACACTGTGCAGCTACTCAGTTCAGTAGCTATAGAAAAGGCCTTTGAAAGCTGCAATAATATAAAGGTTCAGAAATCAGGTAGATAATGAGAGACTAATGAATTTATTGTTTTGACATTTTCCCATTTATCCTTGACTATCAGAATACCTATCATAGTACTGAGTAATTACTTTGAAAAACACTATGGAGTGATTTACAAGATTATCTTATAATAAACCACACCCACTTTCAATATGAACCTCTTATGACCAGGGGAATTTTAATGGGTCTTATTTCTCTTAACCGCTCCTTTTCGTTAATATCTAATAACATTTATACCAGGGTCACAAGTTATAAAGTGCCCCAAAAATCACAGCTCAATGGGAGGGGTGGGTTGTTGTTTATTCAGCAGTTGACTAAAACCCTTCCAAAAAATGATAAAAGAATTTAATCTAAGGTTTTTAACTCAGAGAATAGTCTCAGTTGACGTGATTTTTTTTTTCGTAAAATTGTGAGAAATTAGAAGAAAGATATGCAGAAAGAATATGTTTTACATATGCTAAGCGTAACATTTAACTTAGAATTGGTTTTTGAACCCGCTTATGAAAGATTCTCCACTAGAAATTGTGCTGTGTGAACTTCTTTTTTGTTTGATCAAAAGTATGTTACGAGGATAGTAAATGAATTACGCGTCAATGAGTCTAGACCAGTAGTAGCCAGTCGGCCAGGTGATAATCTTTTAAATAAAGAAATGAATTTAACATGTAAATTATCTAGTTACAAATCATGTTGACTCAACTTTTCACTTAACACGCTGGTCAAATATTTCCCTCACCTTTACTGTCGCTGACCAAATACTGCCCACACCTTGTCACTTGACCAAAAGAAAAAATCTGACTATTTAGTATTGGCCAGTGGTGGGTTAACATGGTCATCCTTAGAAAATGACTGGAAAGGGTTAATACAGGTGTGTTAAGGTTGTCATGTTTTACTTGTTTCAGTTGACATAAAGATTTTCCAGTAATCAGCTCAGATTAAATTTGGCGCCTCACTAAACATCATAGAGTCACCTTGATCATCACAGGGACTTGAAAAATTTAACCACATATTCCTAACCTCTAACAAATGCATGACTTAACTGTATTTGCTAGACATGACCGACAGGCCAGTTCAAATGTCTAGTTACCTACAAGGATGAAAAGACTTGACTCAACTATTTCTTGGAGAAATATCCCAAAACAGTGCCTGTACAAGGATTAGTTCTACTATCTCTGAAACTGATATTGTGGGAATGAATTCTGGGTTCAAATGAGATAATTTTACTCTTCTTTAAAGTATGAAAAACAGATCTGAGTTTCACGTGCAGATATCCAATATATTCAATATTATCTTCATATGAATTAAGAACACTGGTATTCTACTCAACTACTTAAATATTTCAATTAATTTAATTGGGTTTTCAAACTATATAGTAATATAACATGCAAGTTGATGAGTTGTGCACAGCAGTGAGATAGGTTAAAGTACTGAAAACTGTGCAACTATCCAAGAGATAGTATCTGGTGTGTCATTATTATTGAAAATAAAAAAGTGGATACAAAATGACTTGATGCAATTCAATATGGAGTTTTTACTACATGAATATGGCATCCAGATTAAGCTATTTTCTACTTCTACTGACATGCTCAAGAAGTTAGTGTCCTTACCTTTTGTTGTTTACAGATTGAAACTAAAGATTGGACATCATGATTGATGTGACGTCCATCTTGAGAACAGACATAACAAACAGGTAATTTACATCCAACACAAAACATATTTAAAACCTCTTCAGAATGTTCTTTACATTTAACTTCTTTTCTTTTCTTTTTAGATTCAATAATATTCTGTCCCTGAGTGGGGTCCACAAGATTATGTTTAGCTAAAGATCCACGTGCTGGATGACATCCATCACGGCATGTGTCACAATAAAATACTTCACACTGTTCACACATTGTTGTAGCTATCTCTGCCTTGTTAATGCACAGTTCACAACGAACTTCAACCTTTTTAGGTTCTTTAGGTTGAGTATATTTTTCAATGATGGCTTCTAAAACTTTGTTAATGGGCAGTGATAGAGCTCCAAAATCATCCAACAGTACAATTTTACTACACACTGGACAACGTAGACCGTAGGGATATGTTTGTACAGTAGAAGGGGTAAAAATATTTTCCACGCTTGGTGTTCCTAAGTAACTACTTGGTCGACTATTGCACACAACTCCACTGTCTGCTTCGCTTATTAAGCTAAGTTTATCCATTTCCATTATGCTCACCGTGTCAGCTTCCGAGGGACAGTTGGTCCCATTTACCCCTACACCATTTTCAGATGGACATTGAGCCCCAGTTCCCCCTACTGAGCTGGACACCATGTTTTGAGTCGGTTCCTGACCAGCCACGGCACAAGCAGTACAGATTGAATGAGAACAAGGTAAAAGTAAAGGTTTAGAATACCATCTCCTGCAAACTGGACATTTTAATTCCTCTTCCATCGCAGAGCCTTGAGATCCACGTTTTTCGGCGACTTTTCCACTGGCGACAGCAGATGAATCCAAGGATAAGCTGGGCAATCTAGCAGCCAAGGAATACCTTGATGTATCAGACAACAATGCCAATGGTTTCATGCTAGGCAGCTTCTCGGAAACTCGACTGGCACCATTCATTGCACTCTTGGACTCCATTCTGCAACGATTCCAATCTCTAATTAAGCCGGTAAGAACTTCCCCGTGGTATTTAAAACATAGTTCAACTAATAAAATCCACAAATATGTACTAGATAATCCTAAAAACGTGCAATTCACGTGTAATATTGAGTGTGTAACAGTCAGTCAGTATACTGATCTCTACACTGGTTTCAGTCTCTCATTGTCATACAATGTATAACAGTATTGATATTCACCTTCTTCTCTTATTGGTTCAACTCTCTGTCAATCACTTATCTAATCAATATTAAGGCGTGGTAAGAGGCGGGACTTAATCTATATTTAGCACTCACGTGTCTAATGTCCACGTGTTGTTTACAAATGTATTGAAGCTAAATATAGCTGACAATAGCAAACACAGGATGGATTCAAGTGTTTTATACATCCATCAGAAAAAAAAAAAAAAAAACCATGATCTGCTTTTTATCAATATTTTTTTATTTCAAAATGTCTCATATTGTATAGAGTAAAGCATCACACGAAAGGAACAACAAGTTTCTAGTCATACAAATACTGAGTAAAGTCACAATAGGCTGAATATAGAATGGCATCAGTTGTTTGAAATGTTAAGCATACACTCCTTTTATCTTTAGATGGTTAGTGTAATTGTTCTATATTCAAGAAAGTTTTGAACACCATCACGGTTATGATTATTTCGTAGGTTTATTGTGTTTAGATTTTCTCAATAAGTCTAATTAGCATGGGTCTTCTGTGAGAACAGCCCAAAAACTCAATGAATTTTCAGGCATGTTTTGAAACTTTTAAGCTGAGAGTTCGAAATTGGGCTTACACTATCCCATTATGGGTAATATTTATAACAATAACTATAAAAAGAAATAATAAATTTTCAGATTTTATTGTATTAATAAATAATAATATATAGTACAATATGGGTCTTGGAGTTAAAAATTATCACAAAATATTCTTAAAACATTTTCTCAATAGAAGCACTGACCGAGGAGGTTAAAATTTCAGTTATTTACAAACTAATGCTTCTGTCTATACAGTTGATGTTAAAGCCGAGTCAACTTCTATATCATATAACAAATTACAGAATTCATCTGGATCAAAGTTCTATTTTTCCACCTTTCTCAAAGTTTTAAGAATCCACTGGACCACAGTCTGATGTATTATTAAATATAGAATTAGACTCAGTTTTTATCAAATGTTAATGCTGTTGGATCTTAAAAATAACAAAAATAAGGAAAATTTAAAATTTTGACAACTCAGTAATCATCAGCTGATGAGAGAAGATGAAATAAGTTAATCACAACAATCTAACATGAAAGTGTTCAGCAAATTTAGACAATATAATCTTTTTGAAGATTGAAAAAAGGTAGCATCACAGAACATAATTGACCTCTGCACAGGAATTAGAATTAAAATGATATGACAGTATACTTTAATCTGATGACATGATGATGAACCCTGGTGTTTCCATGACAACCAAAAATCTTAAAACCCTGATACTTCAAAAACATCCTCAATATTTAAAACAAAAATGAATTGTTTTTGTACTTTCAGCATTGCTTTATTACAGATTCAAATTTCATGTTCAAAATTTTGCAATATTCCCCTCCCTTTTTTTAATCTAATTTTCATCTTCATCTTCTTCTTCCTCTGCCTCTTCCATCTCTTCTGCAGCCTCAGCAGCTTCCTGTTGGGCAGCACGTAATGCCGCTTCTTCCTCAGGTGTAGGGTCTTCACCTTCTGTGATTTCTGGACCACTAGGGAACTCTTCCTGGACAGCTGGGGGTGGTACAGGGCTGAAATTATCTTGAGCGTATTTGTGACCATATCCAATATAAATATTTTCAAATTTCCTGAAAAGAAAAACCAAGAGCAATATTGTTAAAATATAAGCATTTTAGGTCTTAATTGTTGTTGTTAAAAACAATGGAAAAAAGAGATAAAAAAATAAGAAAGCATTAAAATCAATCATTGAAATAACTGCATACATTCAATGCACAGTATAAGGTTATGGTTAATTTTGCATTCTGTTTTAAGTTGGGGTCAATAAACCGTTTAATTAATACTTACTTTTCAAAAGCGAAAGCATGAGCACCAGGCCATAAATTAGAGTGCATGACAGCTATGGAATATTGAGGAATGATATTGGAGGAGAGTTTAGGAGTCCAGGGTGACATGCCCCCTACTTCATCATCTTCAGCAATGGGAGTGAGGAGTGGGGGTCCAACTTCTGGCTCAGGCTCATCTGGTTCCTCTCTCTCTTCTTCTTCATCTTCATCTTCAAAATCATCCTCTGATTTCTGGACAGGATTCCACCAGGAACAACGACCCTAGAACATCAAATTTCAAGGTAATTTGATACTGTGATTTTACAATTAAAAGTTTGTATCTTCATAAAAAAAAATTAACCTTGAATCTAAAACTTATGATCAAAATTTTCTTAATTGGACTTTAAATAAAAAAAAAATCAAACACAAAAGAGCATCAACTTAGTGACAGACAATTTTTAATTGTAAGGAATAAACAAGACCTGTCCCTCACCTGTGGTAAAATATGTTGGACATGATGAACCCAGTTAGTTAAACTAGGGTCTGCTAGCTCCCTCACAGTAATACCTTCAAAATCTAAATTCTCTACAAAATGATCTCTAGCTGTAAAAAAGGGAAAAACACATTCATAAGTTAAACTATATGTCTTTAATGTCGAATGGGGAATTAGACTTGAATAGATAAAGGGAAATAACTCTAGATAAGAGACTACAGACTACAAAATTACATTTACTCACAACATTCAGCTAAATATATCTGATTAAGATGTGATACTCGATTTTTTTCATGTTTCATGATAAAATTATTAGGACTTTTATCCTACTATTTCTGTTTTTCGGGAAAATTCTAAATGAACAGAAGACAGGGACGGAAAAAGTGTTATTCAAGATTTTGAGAAGGTCACAAGATTTCAAGTTGATGAAGTTAAATAAGTAGAACAATTTTGAATTAAATTTCAAAGCTTTACCTTCTCCCTCTTCTTCTTCCTCTTCCTCTTCATCAAACTGGTAGAATCCAAGGGGCGAGATGTGAGTTCCAGCACTGATGCGAGCAATCTGGGCTCTAAGGTAGTTAGATTCATTACCAGTAAAGGGTGGATAGCACACAACCTATAAAAATATAATACATTTACGATTCAAATACAATGAAATTTAACAAGAGCTATTATTGAATTTCTAAGGAATGCTAAGTTAAAGCACAACCCTTCTGAAAAATTAAAAAGCATTTTGCGAAACATGCAACAATTTATTTTCCTTATTTTTGGAGTTATGTAAAATAATCTATTTAACTTACAGGTGCATCAAGTCGGCCAGTGAAGAATTTCTTGATTTTCCTTGCTACAGAAACCTGGGTTGGGTTCACTGCTGGTAGTTTTACCCAGGGTTTACCAGCTAAAAAAAAAAACATAATCCTAACTCTTAACATAAACTTTCAAATATTTTCTTTACACCTGAATTTTTTGGATTCAATCCACTTTTCTGTTTATTAATGTATTATGCTATGCGCTAATGATGCTCCTGTGAAGAAATGAGATTAAGGTCTAGAAAAGACACTTACGTTCATTACAGACAAAGTATGTTTTCTTATTAACACCAGTTCTGTTGTCTTCTTTAGGTGGAAGAGCTGGTGATTTAAATTCTGGTTTAGGAATATCATCTTCTTCAGTCTCTTCTAGAAAATATAATAGAAATTGATTGAATGATCACTAGAGACTGCTTTAGACTCACAATAATCCAGGAATGCTTTTTCTTCTACCAATTTATACAGAGATATTGAAATGACCTTTAACATAAATTTATAAATAAAAAAATCACATTTATAGAGAATATGATTAACTCAGGTGCATAGTGGCATCTGGTGGCATTTGAGATTCTGAAATTTTACAAACTAAATATCTTACCCTCTTCTCCCTCCTCAGCATCATCTTTTTCTGTTGTGTCTTCTTCATTCTGTTCTTCCTGTCAAAATAGAAATGGGAAAATTTTAAAACTGCTGCTGAGGAAAATGAGGAATGAAATGGAGTTATATATCCTATATAGTTTTATTCTGTACATGGGTAATGAAATGAAATTAAATTGGTTTTATGCTCAACTGTTCTGTACCTTATTTGGTTTATAAAATGCAATGAAACTTTTTTTTTTTACACGTTTATCTTTGGTTAATGAAGATGAGATTTAAAACTATTTAGTTTTACCTCTTCTTCTTCCTCTTCCTCTTCATCACCTTCTCGATATTCCACCTCAGCCACGTAATAATTCTGTTCAGTTCCTAATATTTTACCCCAAAATCGTACATGTTGTAACGGGTGATTGTCTACCAAGTTTTTTAAAGCCAACCAGACGCGAATCACTTCCTCTCTATTCAAACCAATAGCAGCTTGTTCAAAATAAAAGGACAATTCCATGAGATTGGGGAGGGGAGTTTCAACTTCTTCATCTGGTTGTGGTTCTTCTTCTTCACCTTCACCTTTCTAAAAATAAAAATTAAATGATTAAGAGTTCAGATTCCATATTTAGGTAACAATTTTATGCCTTTCAGATAGGTTTCCCATGTCATTCATGTAAGCAGTCTTACTTTAGTTTATTATCAACAGACATGAATGCCTAATCAAATTGAAATTCAAACAAGAAACTATATGGCATGTGATTAAATCAGAACTTACTGAGAATAGTTTTTTCTGTAATTGGGCAAGTGCTACTTCTGTAGATTTATCAACTTTGTCCTGAACTGTATCAGCTTTAGATGTGAATTTAGATCGTTTTGTATCATTACTAATATCTTCAATAATATCAGCTACATTATTTGGCCTCTCATCTAAAACTCTGTTTAAAACTTTAGATAGATGGTCATACCTGAAGAGACAATAAAATATATTCATAAATGAAGGGGGAAAAAGCTCTACCGGTATTAGTTAAATATGAGAAAAATGGGCAATTGAATTATTTTGTAAGAACAGATTATTTGATAAGTAGTGTTTTAGGCTAATGCAAACATAGCAAGTACCGTACCTTAGCTTATATCTACTCAGGGAATACATTATTCTGGTTTTTAGTGTGTTTATTAGGTTGTAGGAGTTTCATGTTAAATGATGTGCTCACATACAGTATTTTTCTCAAATCTATTCACAAATAAAAATTACTAAAAAATATTCTAAGAAATTTGCTAAAAAGCTCAATCTACTTACAGATTCATACCAGTATTTGTACTGGCAGTGAGAAGGTACGATTTTGCCTTGATAAATTCATTTTCTTTGGCACTCAGTTGTGTTGTGCTGGGTGTGTCTGGCTTGACTTCCTCATTTGTTGGAGACGTAGACATTTTGTACGGTGAAATGTGTGTCCTGAGGATCAGCTAGAAGTAAATTGTGAGGTTTACTCGCCGAATACTGTATCAAATCAAAGCTACAACGATTTTATCACATTTGTTTCAGCCAGACAAGTTATCCGTTTCCCTGGTTGTAATGTTGCTACGGTAAACATAAACAATGGACACAAAACGTCACTTCCGTTATAGCGTACGCACAAACTGTGACGTAGTGCACATGAGGGTGCGAGAAGCCATTTCCTGTGAAGCTTATCAAGTTCAATTTATCTTAATTTCCTACCGTAATTAAAGTAATTCATGTTAATTGGCTGATGTGTAGTGTTGTTTGTATTTCTGTTGGAGTGCCGATTAACAAATTAATCTAATCAAAACGCCATTTTGTGCATTAAGAGGGTGTCAAAGTCGTGTTTATGTTTGTTTACACTCTTGCAGCCTTGTCAGTCAGTCTTTTTTTCTGTTTCTCACGTCACTTTACTGTCAAGTTATTGTCAGTCTCATGAATTGAATCCGTCATTTTCAAGGTCAAAATGACTTCAATGATGAAATAACTTAACTCAGATAACTGCATTCCATTTATTCTAAATCTTGATTGAAGTGACCACTTGATTATGAATACCAAAGGGATGACAAATGTCTCTCAAGTACAGAATGTGACCTACAATTTTAAGTGCATTACTCACTTAAGAGAGTTATTTATAAATCAGATTGCTCAAAGTGTCTAACTCTGATACATGTGCAATATTAAGAAAGTTTAACTGCACAATGTAGCTAAGATATTCCTCACATATCTTTACATTATAGTGTGCCGTAAAGATTTTATAATCAGCAACTATCCGATCGAATTTGGATATTCTAAATGTTCTTTAGAGAGTGAAAGTTAACAGTGTTCCAGACTTTGTATGACTGATTGATTTGCTAGCTGGATAAAGACCTAGATTATAGACAGTAGTTTTTATGAAATAATTTTGTTGATTGATTTTAAATTACTTCATTTTTATACCTGGACCTGTTCTAGTGCCATCTGTTCAAGAGTTATTTCTATTCCAATATTTCACTCTGTGCAACCAGCTTTTAAGTTGAAGAATAAGGTTAACTGCCAAAACCAGACAGAAAAGCCTTATGCCAGTGCCAGAGTTAATGACATCAGAAAAACGAATATCAAAATGATATGAATGTCTGTTGCGTGCAACTGGACTGTTGAGTGTTTATCTGCATTTTGAACCATGGATAAAAAGAGGATGTTGTCCAATTCAAAAAAGAAAGATGGCGGATTAAACGAAGGAATTGCAGGACGATATATTAAAAGAGATACACCCCCTATGTTGCGTAGTAAGTTTAAGTTTACTATTCAAATTCATAATTAAGCAGAAATTTATGACGATATTTTTATGAAACTCAAATGATATGCAGTAATTTGTGTTGAGTTTTATAAAATGGATCACCCTCTCTGACATATTATTAAATTTATTTTTATGTCTTTAGATTATCATACACCAGTGAGAGCAAGTATCATTACTCCTCGAAGGACAACTAGAAACCCTGCATCCTACGTTCCTCAACAGACTCCAGCAACAGGTGGTAACTTTCTACAGACTGGTGTTCCCTCTCCAATACGTCTCACATCTCCTGCTCAACCTCCGGTAAACACTAACCAAGTCACAGATCGACAGATACAAATGTATCAACAATCACATTCTAGCCCCTCCCATAATTTAACACAAGGGCTACATAATCTTCGACTGTCGTCCACACAGAGTGTTACCACTGCTACAACCAGGACTTCAGGTGTGACATTTTCTCAACCTTCAAGCGCTCAAAAACCTGTAACCAGTTCTGCTGCCAATCCTAATGTCTCCTACCATCCTACTACTACCTTTCATTCATCGCCTGTTCATCAACCAAGTGCCACTGTAAAACCAGGTAAGATTATTTTCCTTCTCAAGGAGTATTCTATTTTGTTTCTTCAAATGCTGGTAGGCAAGGTGTGCTTAATAAGTAGAGGAAACATGAAAGCACTGGCCTAGGACACACAGTAAATCCTAGCAATAGTGTTCAAGGAATAATTAATGAAAACTAAGATACTAGAATAAGCAGATTCACCTCAAAAGGTTGAAGAAAAGTAAATGAGCAATATTCTTTTTTTTTTCAGAGGAAAGTTCTGAGGGTCTGTTTCAATCTTCTGGGCTGGGAAACTCAGAATACTCAAATTTACAACAACAATATGATGACAATTACCAAATTCAACAGTATCATCAAGAAATACGAAATTACTACGCTCAACAAAATCCTAGTGCTAACAGGACTAATTTACTTGGCTCACCATTAGATAGCCCTACGCCAAAATCGGGGACTTCGTCTACAAGTGATAAATCAAGTTTACTTTCAGCCAGTGACCGCTCCACGCCATTAACAAATTTATATTCAGAAAGGAGCCAAGCAAGTAGTGCAATACATGCCGCAGAACCAACGAATCAGGTATCAGCTTTAATGTCAAGCGACAGAAATCAACCAATCAGTGGTGTAAGAAGAAGTAAAGTTCATCCGTCTGCTACTGTTGATCACCATGGTGATATATTAAACCCTGCTGTCTCATCTGCTAACCAAAGTGAGTGCCTGTATTTATTTATGTTGTAAAAAAAGTTTATTGTGATGTATGCCTTCTTTACCTTTTAAGAATCCATGAAGACATTCTTTAGTTGTTTAATGAACTTAGCAGAATACAGGAATATATTTCCCTTTGACTAAGGACAAATCTGCACAATTTGGTGCCCTGGAAAATAATGATTTTACAGTAACTGCTAATTTTTTCAGGTAATTTTCTTAGTAGTCCAGGTGCAGAAGAATTACCCCTACCTGTCGGTTGGTCAGTGGACTGGACATTACGGGGTAAAAAATATTATATAGACCATAATACCCAGACCACTCACTGGAGTCACCCCCTGGAGAAAGAAAGTTTACCAATGGGGTGGGAAAGAATTGAAAGTAAAGAACATGGAGTATTTTATGTCAAGTAAGTTTGTCACATCAGCAGCTTTTTTGCAATTTCCTTTCGATAACTACGTATGTGTCTATACGACCACAGAGGCCAGTGGCATAGTAAAACTAACATAAGGGGTTTAATGGCTGTAATGTGGAGCTGAGGGGCATCTCTGAAACAGTAGCAGTAACTGCAAATGCTTTATAAAAGCTTAGTCATTTCAGTATCTGGCAGTAGTTGGGGCATAGCATTTATTGAGGTTAATAAGTTGAATAAGAACTTCATAATAATGATGTTACTAAATTAGATTCGATATCTTGTCTATCTCTTTAAATTTGTATGTTTGTGGACCTTGACCTTAGGATTATAATTTGGATAGATACAAGTCATGTGGTTATTTAATTTTATTTTTCAGCCATATTTTAAAAACAGCTCAAACCCATCATCCTTGTTCAACATCTGTACCACGAAGTATAGTGATTAGCCAAGAAACCATGACAACACACAGCACATCACTAGGGGGAGCTGCTTTACCACAGCAACTAGAATTTCAACAACCACGTCAAACCAATGTTTTAGTGCCTGCTAACCCATATTTAAAAGAAGGTTAGATTTGCTGTGACAAAATAACACTGGAACTTTGGTGACTTAGTCAATTAGATGCTTGTTCTCTAACCAAGTGTCAGCTGTTTGACTCAGATTTTTCAACTGTTTGCTCTTTCTCAGTGATGCAGGATGGAAGTTGTTTGAAATGGTCAATAAACCAACACCCTGTGTGCTACATGCCTTGCATTTTAAAGATCCTATGAAGGAGGGAAATTGGAGGCAGTAAACAGTTTCTTTTATCCAATGAAAATATTTCATGTCTAATGTTTTGTCAATTTCAGAAATACCACCATGGCTAGTTGTGTATTTTAAAGCTCAACCTGAACATGACCATAAACTAAAGGTAAGAAGGAACCCATTATTGGCACTGTCAGGTTGAATCTCATTCATTGAAGCCTTATGAGATATCACTTCTAATATGAATTTACAAAATATCAACATATTAAGACATTAACATCTGAAAATAAAGGTCTAAGACTGTAATAATGCATGTCTCTTTACTGTCCAAAATTGAATTATTATCAATTTATTCAGTTTTCTGTGGTATGAGAAATAGTGTGTGTCTGGCACAATGTCTACATTCATGTTTCTCTGTAGTGTTATCTTGGAAGTGCCATGACAAAATGTTTATCTATCACTGATTATAATTTAATTTAATTTCAGTGGGACTTATTTCGTTTGAATGAACTGGAATATTTCGATGCATTGATTCGACGGATCTATAAACAAGAACTTGAAGAACTTGTGATGTCATATGAACGTTATAGATCAGCGTTGAATCGTGAAAAAGATCGACAAAAACAGGAACAGCAAAAACAATTGACTCAAAATATTGAAACAAAAGTGTGACAGTGAATGTCTTGACCTTTTGTCTCCTGTGACTTTTTGTGTCCTTGACCTTTGTTATCAGTTGAACCTTTGAGGTAGATTGTTGAATATTAGAACTAGTATCTTGGATATTTGGTATCTGTTGACATTTTGTGTCTTTGATCTTTGTTATCTGGTTGGGTATTAAATATTATAACAACCATATGACCCGAATAGTCCTGGACATATATATATATCATTTGACCTGAGTGTCCTTGACCTTGAATGTCTGTTTTGTGTCCTTGACCTGTGGATGTTCAATTTTTGCCAAAATCTGTGATGATTCTATTTATAGAACAAATTTTTAGAGTTATTGGAGTGCTTTCATCAGAAAAGTTTTGAAAAATTATTGATGCAATGAGTTTTAGTGCTAGATATGTAGTGCCTTGTCAAATGTATTTTTTTTTTCATGGAAGCCATTTTGACTATTTGCAATAGTTTTTGTGATAATTTTATGTTTATTAACATAGAAAAATCATTCCATTTTTATCATTATAAATAAAACATTGAATCAGGATTCTTGAATGTTTGCTTTTATTAAATTTGTGAAAAGGGTGAGATAGAAAAGTCCTGTTTATGGAGCATGAATCTATTACATTGACAACAGTTTACAATTTTGCTTTTTCCAACAATGTAAGCACACACAAAATTAGATGCTGTAGGTTCAAGAGTCAGAACAATTACAAAAACCATGACTGGTGCTTTCGAGATAAGATCTGGTGTTTACCGTTCACATATTTAAAGGACCCTATAGCTGATAACTATATAGATCTCCTTTGAATTTTTTTTTTATTTTTTAATAAAATATATTTGTATACATAATATGAAGAATTGGCTTCAATATAACAATGACAATAATGCTAAAATTTGTTCGTAATTATACATAAAATATCATAGAAATATAACATATAAAAATTTGTCTAAATATCTTTGAGCTTTTCCTTAATACATGTATTACTATAACACCAGGATCAGTATCCCTTTTAGAGAATCCATATAGCTGTTGATGCTTATTTGGTTTATCAAATACAAAAATTGGTAAAATAAATATTCAGAATTAGTGTTTCTGCATAGCCGGACAATAAACATAATTTACAAATTTTCTGGCAATAGGCCCAAGACTACAAAAAGTCATACAACATTTCTGACATGGCCACCTTTATCCAAAAATTATAAAAACTTTCGATGTAGAATATAAACCTTAACATGAATTTTTCAATCAAATTTTTAGGAGACCAAATTGAAAATTTAACATAACACAACATTTTATGGTAGAAATTTTATACGAGATCGTTGAAAATACTGGAGAATTGAAACAAAGAATTGAGCAAAGTAAAAAAAAAAATACTATTTCTCAATTTAAAAATAAAGATTGAAAAAATACCCATATATTATATATTAAATTTATAAACAGTTATTAATTTCTTAAATAAAATAATATAGTCAAGTATTTATGAATATGTAGGTACGATTCTAAACATGAACATGCTTAGTCGAATCTGATTTTTGGTAGAAAATAGTAATAAACAAGTTAGACCATTATTATTTTTATTCATACTTAAACTACCTACTTAACAAAAATTAGTCTGTTCATGTTTATGACTTGAATTGAAACGTGATGTACATAAATATTTCTCTTGACTATATTAATATTTGGAAATTTAACATGATTCATATCTTAAAAGAAAAAAAGAGTAAAATGACATCGATTCAAAAAATATTTTTGTAAGAGCACTAACAAAAGCGACATTACACAACAAAACAACATTAATAGAGAGTAATAACATAAATGATAAAAAAAAATAAATGAGGTTTGAAGTTTAAATAATTTCACAGACATGCTTTTTGGAGAAATTAATCAAATTTGTTAACATTTGTAATATTGAAGGTAGCTATGAAAATTAGTGCAACATCAGGACATTTTGTGGCAACATTCTGACATGACTGGCAAATTTATGCCCTAGTTATACCCAATGTCCACTGTTGAATCTATGTAGTGTTTAGTCAGTTGCTCTTTCATAAACCCTCAACCCTTAATTAACATGATCACCTTATTGGTCAATCACCAAAATGATTCACTCACTAAAATTGATTTAAATGATTGATCTATCAGATTGCAATATCTCCTAAAACTAAATTTCATCTCAGTTTATTGGATATGAGCTTCAGACCTTAGACTATTGGATTTCATTGTAAAGAATACATGTTAAAACTCCTTTCTAGTTTTCATTAGTTGTTGAAACTACAGGTATCTGATGCATGAATTATTAGGTTAGAAAACAATAATCGGACGTAAAACTTCTCTATGTTCTTAAGTTACTAAACCTTTTCAAAATTAATACCTCAAATCCCTGTTGAAGAAACAGTTTATGTTACTTTGGTTCTTAAGACAACCGACATTGAGTTATGGCCCTTTTATCCTCACGGTTTTAGTTTGTTTATCTCGAACAACTGGATGTGAATCGGATGATTCTGTGCTACCCGTATTAGACTGGACAATCTCAGCAACCTGTGATCTTTCTACTAGATAAGACTGGAAAACAAGAAAAAAAATATCTTTCACATTTATGATCAATTTTATTTCGAGTTATTTTTGTCTCAATTAATCTATTCAAGATTTTAAGAAGCCACATCAACTGTTTAACAAACTTTAAATTTCAAAAGGTTGGATAATCAAACTCTTTTCTATTCTAAAATACTACACGAGTATTCACCCCACAGAATGCTCGTTTGTTTTAAATAACAAAAAAATAAAGATTTTATTTCAACACACTGAAATATTTACCTCAATTCGTTTTAATTTTTCGTCTATATCAACTTTATCAGCTGGCAGGTCTAAGATTTTCCTGCATTTCTCGTAAATATTATCTATCGACATATAAATCACTCCTAGATTGGTTCTCTGAAAAAATAATATGCAGTTTTACATACTACTTCTACTTTCAGAGTTCTGTTCAGCACTGGACTAGCGAAGTGAACTTCTCTACAACTCTACATTTGATTGATGTTCTGATTTATCAAAAAATGTCATAAAAAGTCACCTTCTTTCTTAAAGCTCCTTTTGATAAAAGAAATTCTTGTTCTTTCCGTTGATTTAAAGTGGTTTTATTTTCTTCTGATGTTTTGAGATGAGCAAGCTCACTGTTAAATGAAACTTTTCGTTTATTATGATCCTGTCGGATATTTTCTAACTTGGTTTTCTTCAGTTCATACTGGAATAAAACACATTTGATAGCGATGAAATAAAACCTTACATCATCTCCACAATTATGGCTTGAAAATTTCACCGTTTGTGTTTGATTGGTGTTTCTGGGACATAACCTAGATTTAAGTGATGCTTGGTGTTTCTGGGACGTAAATGAAATGAATGGAGTTTTACGTCCTACTTTTCTGCAATATAAGGGTAAAAGAAAAGGTGCCATGCAGGGTGCCATGAGGGAAATTTTTCCAGGACAGCAGTTTAGCCTGCTCCTTTTTTTTCGATTTCCAACTGTCGAGGGATCTTTAACGTGCACAGCCTGTTGCAGGTGTAGGTGTTTCTGGCATGTAACCTAGAATTAAGTGATGCTTGGTGTTTCTGGGGCGTAACCTAGAGTTAAGTGATGCTTGGTGTTTCTTGGATGTACAATGTCTACAGTTCAGCTAAGATAGATGTGTCAAATTCCTGTAGTCTTAACATCCTAGTTTTTTAACCCTTTGAACACAATATTTAAATAAATTGTAAAGCAATGTACTCTGAATTCAATGTAGCATAACCTTAAGCATATTGTGTCACTTAGTATTGACTGCTTCAAAGAGGACTAAGGTATATCATGAGGTTGGTATAGGTATGCTTATATTAATAGAGTTAAGCTTAACTAATGTTGCGACAGCATGAAACAAACCTCGTCCTCCATGTGGCCTAATTTATCAACGATATCTTTATTAGCTTCATATAATGTTCGATGTCTCATCATTAACCCTTTTACTTTATCTTCTGATGATGTGATGTAGTCTGAAATAGATGAAATGGCATTAACAATCCTTTATTTCTTAATGCCACCTTGTCTATCAAACATTAGGAGCCATGATGAAAGGGGTGTTTTGTTGACAAACTTAAGTACAAAGAGAACATTATTATCTATATGGACTGAAAGGAAAGCTGTGATTAAAGCATGACTTACCTTCAGGCATAGCTTCCACCACAGCCAATAAATAGGTTTCATATTTTTTATATTGAGTTAACAATTTCTGTAAATATCTGTGTCTACAAAACACCAAAAAATCTTGATCTGTTATCTAATGACTCTTATTATATAATATAAATTAAAAGCTGCTTTGCTCATCTTAAAACATTGGAGGAAACCAGAATCATTTTGAAATTTTTGCCAACACTTACCTTTGTTTAACCTTTTCTAATTGTTCCTGTAACTCTTCTAATTCTGATTTCTTTCGATCTCGTAACCTCACTTCCTGTTGATATTTCTGTATCGCTCGTCGTTGTTTTATTTCATTTTCTTCGATAAATTTTTCAAACTTTGCCACTCTGTCTTTCATCTGAAGTATAATTTTGTTATGTTACCTGATTTTACCTGAAAAAAGCATCTTGTCGTTGCTCTGGAACAACAACCTAAGACAGACCACAAACTTGAAGAAATTGTTTGATACATTCAAATATTAGAAAAAAAACTAATTTTATATTCTACATAGCTAATAATGTTCTTGTTTAGTAAATTGACCTGAAATGGCTTGACCTAAAGACTGGATAGTAAGAGGATTAATAACAAGGGGGATTATTCCGGTTATAATCTTATTATCAACTATTATTACTGACTTATTGACTTAAAACCTTTAAAGGGATATGATCACTCCATTATTGTTTTAAAAGCTTGTCAGAATGAAATGTCTGCAGTTAAATAGACATTGTGACTGCCTTTGACTTTCCAGGCTTGTCGGCCTAATAGCAGATGGTGTAGAGATAAGGACACTCAACAAAAGTTTAATATATGTAGGCTTATGTAAATAATCAGTATCGGAGCCAAGCCCCAAAAAAAACAAAAATTACAAATCTAGTTGAAATATGCTTCTTTTTTTAAAAAAGAAAACTCTTGAAATTGGATAAAATGCAGATTTTTAAAAAATAGTTAATGGTCACTCCAAATACAAAGTTCTGTAGCCACCACTGTAAGTAATGTCATACCCGTTGCTGTTTTTTCTGAACTTCAATCCTACGCTTTTCGCATGCTTCCATACGCTCTTTGAATTCTCGTCGTTTGGCTTCAAGTTCAGCATCAACCTTATCTATCTCCACCTCCTGTTTTAACAGGAGAGTTCGTTGATGTGTGTTGGAACTAGATTCAAGAAGACGATGTCCCTTTTCTTTAACAACTGGAATTTGTACAATATCATCTTCATCTTCTCTAAAATATAAGAAAGTAAAACTATAAAAGGTCAAAAAGACAAGGATTATACTGCTCTTCAACTGATATTTGAACGCCGAACTCAGAACTATAAGTAGAGCCTTCCAGGCCTTTAGCTAGCCCAGAGTCTCAGGAGGGGCCAACATCTTTTAAGTGGGTTCAACTTGACGACTCAACAAGTTATTAAAGTCATCTAAATGTGCCCCCCCCCCCTCCCTACGGGCCTGGAGCTTTCTGAAACCAGCCGGGTTGGATATGCCTATCCTTCTGGAATACCTGATGCCACTCCATGGCTTTTCTAACTAGGCATTCATTTCAGGTTGACAAAAACAATTTGTAACAATTCATTGGTACTGTATAATAAAGTGTAATAATATTAATTATTGCATGTAGTGATCGTTAACATTATTTTAAGGGTTATAATTATATCAGAGGTTTTGAATTGGAGTAATCTCTTTGCAATTCATCTAACACAATTTGATACTAAGTTGCTCTCTGCATCACATTGTCTGCATATTGATAAATTTAAAGGCATTTAATGTACACACCGTATCTAATAAGTCTACATTTTACTCATAAATTACAGCTCGCAATCATTAAACATACAGTCATCATAACATATTAACACAAGTTGTTACAAGATATAAATAATTAAAACAATGTTTATAAGTTTTTACCTGGCATGTAATTGAGTCACGAAAACATTTCTTTTCGGTGGATCGAGATCCAGTTTATAATTCTTAGTCGCTGCCATTTTGGATTCATTCAGTCCTCAAATCCTTTTAAATTATTGAGAAATTCGCCATGATTATTTTTGCCCACAAGAAATCCCGTTATTGGCCGCCATGTCAAAACAAATCTCATGAGCTTTCTTCACCTCCTTGGAGATTTGTCACGTGATTAGAGTAGGTCATGTGACTGGTCCAGGTGGACTGTTATGAAGTACCGTTATACCTGAATACATAATTATTGATGTTATTTTATTGCGTACATATATTTGGAATTTTAAAATTGCTGGAAGCATGAAGGTAGATTTCTGGTGAATCTTAAAGGGATTGAAAGGGTTTTTCTTATCGTTGTAAATGTATCTGTGACACTTTTTGCGTCTTCTCCAACTCACAGCATTCCGATTTCCTATCCGATCTTTTCGGTTCCTGTAATTCCAGAAAAAGCTCGAATAAAGTACATGTATAGTCTAAGAGTCACGAAATTTTTTCATTTATACACCTGATCATAATTGCTAATAAAGTCAACATATTGTCAAGCATTAAGGGAGCATTTGGTGTCGAAACATTAGAAAGTAATGTCCCCATTTTCTGTTTTTTTTTAACATGCATATTTCTTATTTTTTTTTTAATTGGAAAGAGTTCAATTTAAGTGATGCCGCATCAGATCGCCATTTTTAAAGTCCTTTTTGCAATCTAATATTTCTTATGATTAGCTAAAATTAGAATATTTTACGACGATCTGCGAATCAAAATCAAATTATATATTTTTTATGAGAACTTTTGTTAAGTCTAGACTGTCTCTCTATGTAAAGAACCCTGGAATGTTTCTAGATCCATGGTATCCTTTTATGATTATGATTCTGGAATGCGAATTTAAAGTTTTCATTTAAAAGATCGTTTTACATATGTTTTACTTCAGGGGAGAGAATTCTCTACAATTTTATTTGTTGACCACTGAGGCTAATTGTAAAAAAAATTAAATACAAATTCGGTCCTTAGAGAATGGGACTTAAGGTCAGAGTTATGGAAGATTTAGTTCCATCATAAGTCTTCGGAGTACTGATATTCGAAGCATTGCATGGAGGTACATTATATACCTTTCAATGTAAAAGATTTAATCCTACCTTCTAAGTTCACTTTGTCACTGCTACACCATTCTGCTAATCATCTCAACATAAACTGGTAGGCTCTAAATGCTTCGCTCTATCTGATACCAACTCGTTGACTGCATAGCTTCCTTCCTTCTCGTTCTTCGTCTGTTTTCCTTTCCTTACCTGTCTTCATAATTTCTCTTGTACTTCCCTTCCCTTCTCCTATCCATCACACAATGTATATCATCTTTTCCCGCAAGTCTCTTCTCTTCTTGATCTGCATCCCTTTGACTCTTAAGCCTTCTATCTCTTCTTTCCCTTTCTTATACCATCTCCAATGTGATGCTACTCCTCTCTACTACCCTCTCGATAAGTAAAGCTACAATTTGCTATCCAATATTATTTAATCATGACGACATGCAAAGAGAATTGTGGCTAAATCTAGTCTCGCTTAGAAGTATAATTATTAAATTTATTTTGATTCTTTCAAAGGTATTACTGCTGTTCCTGTCACTGTCTACTTGTATTGGCCCCACTATTAGTCTCTCGTCACTCCCTGACTGTCTACAATGTTATCATTATGCCGAAAATTCTCTTCAAGATCTTCTTAATGTGATTCTAAGTAAGTTATCTCATAATCTCACTTTAATGTAAGCTTATCAGTTATACAGGTAGCGTAAATTAAGATCTTTCATAAAGTAGAAGTCCGACCCCATAAAAATGATCGGTGTTGCTATCTAAGTAAAAGTAGGTATACTGCAACATCTGATGCCATTGTACTACCGAGTTTGTCACCTGAGCATAGACATAGGGTCCAGGTATATAATGATGTATATTTGTATCTCCAGATATTGGGGTAGTAGGGGACTGTAAAGAGGTATGTCAGTATTTACCAACCCCCACCCAGCAGACGGGCTGTCAATTATATTGTAGTAGATCTGGTATAACTTCCTTCGTCTCGGCTGTCACAAAGTAAGTAACCCTACCCCCACCTACCCCCCCCCCCCCTCCCCTCTAAAAAAAAATAGTACAAAACAGGCTAGGGTTGCGTTTTCAATGTGTTTTGGGGAATTTGACAGCGATTCTATATATTTCTGTGAGCTAATCAATCAATGTGGTTTTAAAGTTGATGGTGATGCTGAAATCAAGCTTGCCAAATTTAACTTAGGTGAGTCTGCACAGTCTCTACGATACCAGTAGATACTTGGGAGATGGGGTGGAATGTACTGATACAGGTAATGATGATATCTGGTGGGATGTTTTAGTCACACCAACCGAATCCAGGTTCACCTAAATGCTTACCACTGTAAAAGTTGTAGGGTTCCTCTAATGGAAATCATCTGGAAGTATATATAAGATTTATTACTCTCGGACTACACTGCTTTCTGAATTGAATTTTGGCAATCATTTTCATATGAACTGAATTATCAATTACAAAATACTGCTGAGAGTCCAAGATTGCCTTTGGGTTCAACCACTGTAAAAGTTGTAGGGTTCCTCTAATGGAAATCATCTGGAAGTATATATAAGATTTATTACTCTCGGACTACACTGCTTTCTGAATTGAATTTTGGCAATCATTTTCATATGAACTGAAATATCAATTACAAAATACTGCTGAGAATCTTAGATTGCCTTTGGGTTGATGAAAACTCGCCGTGTATCGTACATGGGTATTTTTATCTATAATATTGTTTATATATCGAAATTTAGATCCACCTGGAATTAGCATAGTTTTTGACACAATCAAAGGTACTGGAGCTGGGGAAATCCAGCTTGAAGTAATGCAGGATGGTGGTAATGTTCCAAAAGGTGGGTTCCCATCGGACACTTTCTCTTTTTCAACATAAATAAAAATCTCTGTGCCTTTAATAAATTTAAACGACATTCACTTCTGATTTAACGTGTTTTTTAAAACACAGACGAACCAAACATCCAACTTAAAGGACTTGGGCAGCTGGGGCTCTTTTTATCAGGCAAAGTATCTGGTTGAGGTTTCAGATCCATTTTCCATTGTTGTAGCTTTGGATTATCCAATAACGGAGACGGCCTCGGGTCAACATGAATATACAATACCACTCAATAATCGAGACTGTATGAAAGATTCTCTTCAGCTTTCAACAGGCAAATACAACATTAAAATCTGTAAGTCTTAAAGTAACCGTCTTTTAATACTGTATACTATTTTGAATTAATAAGATAAAATGGGGTTTTAGGTTCTATTGATCTTTGCCTTGTTGAAATAATGATATGAGAGAGGTTTTTACTTCTATTGTTTTGATTCTTGTTTGGGCTATGTAATGAAATGAAGTTTGGTGTCCTCCTTATCTATATCTTATTGAGCTAACGTGTTCTCAAAATCTTATTGGGCTGATGAAATGAAATGCAGTGTTATGTCCATTATTACTGAACTTTATAAAAGATAATTGAATTGAACCAGATTCTTTCGCCATACTGTTCTGTATTAAAATTTATCGTGAACGACTTGTGGGTTTTATTGTTCACAGCGTTTCTACAATTTACATTTTGAAATTATTATTCTATTTCAGCTGTCTGTTCGTGTAAATGTGGTTCACATCATCCAAACAGTCAGATTTACGATTCTAAAAAATCCACTATCACTGTACCTGAATAAAGTTATCTGTTAGACTACATCGTATTGGCAGTCTATCATTAGAAAAACGAGTTCGAATCCTCGACTTAATCCTAGAGTTGGAGTATTTCAGTCAAACGGTAGCTACTTAGACGGGGATTAGATGATACCTCGGAATGGCTATGTGCGGGTTGAAGATTTTTTATTAAAAAGGAGTCGGCAAATATTGTTTCCTGGCCAAATCTTTCTTATTTCATACGGGTAGATTATCCACCGCGTAGCTCTTTACTTTTATACTCCAACCGTCACAATTTGTCGAAATCGTCAGTCGTATTTTATTCATCAGTCGTGGTCGAGTTTTGTTTCAACTATTTGAAAACCCTTATACAAGCACCATAAAACACGGTGCTCACTACTTAAATTGTTTTTTTTTAATAAATGAATTGATTTATTTGCATAGTAGTTGAAAAATCAGTCACAATCTACTGGAGCCAGTTACAATTTCATTTTGTGACTGACTTCAGGGTCTAGCCAGAATAATTCTTATGATGTAGACCAGGACAAGACAGATAAAATGTTTTTGGCTAATCTTCAACTGACATTTCAGATGTGTTGATAAGACATTCTACCCTACAAGTTGTAAACAACTAGGTCAAACATTTCGACATTGTTCATAGCAATGAAGGTAAGTAGTTATAAATACCATCTTGAGTTTAATTCATTACTTTAAATCTGTCTTCACGGCGGGACACACTCGCCCTTCAGAATACATAAGCCCATTTACACGAGGACAGTCTGCTAGGTCGCAATTTCAGTGAAGCCTTGGCAACCAAGACGTGGTTGTAACCATCTGTCGGCATACACTGCTGAACCTGGGTCCAATTCGACCCTAGTGAAGACTGGAGTCGGCAACCCGAGTGCGTCCCCGGAGTCGACTCTCGGAGTTTCCGTCGTGTGAACAACTGCCCCCGGGTCGACCCTTGGTGGGCCCAGGGATTTTACCCTCGTGTAAACGGCCCTATGCCACTAATTCTGGACTGAGTATTCCCTTTGTCAAGCCCCTATTCTCCTCCCACGAGTCCTCTTAAAACGTTATCGTCCCGCAATTTACCAAGAATCGTATTTTTTAACACATTTAGATTCCGTCGGGTAAAAAAAAGAAATCGGCCAGTGAGCTTCAACAACAAATGTTAAAAAAGATATGTGACTTGATGGTTGTTTTGATTGAATTTAAGAGCTGACATTGACAATTTTCACCGGGTATAACATATGCCCTACAGTTTCCCAAGCGAGTTTTTGTCCTTGTACTCTTGAATTTCTTTTAGGTTCTTTATCTGATAGCGTTTACTTCCTGTATATATCATTCTATTCAGCATGTCATTCACAAACGAGATGATGAAGATTGTAACTTCTGCGTCCAAGTTGTCCGTAAACCACTTCCGGTTTGGTTTGAATTTGTACAAAGTAAGTCCAGAAGTCAGTGCTCGTACGAGACTACGTTTTAATCACCAACTAAGATTAAGACCGCCCGGTATTCCTTCAAATTCAATCATTTTGTCCGATTTATGACGATCCTATCATCCATGATATAATACCATATTGACGCAACTTTACTTCCGGTTGGGCCCTTCTGTCCAACCAACGGGTTAAAGAAATGCTCTATGGTCATCTCACGACAAAATAATCATCACTACGTATAGGCCTACTTTCAACTTATTTGTCAGTTTTGGTCAATCAGAACTATGCTCCTTTTCCTAGTGTCAATTTGATCACCCAAGTGGTGGATCCGAACATTTAGGAGGAGAGGGAACTTGTACGTCTCTCATATAAACTTCATCAATGGGAACAAAGAATATTATGTATTGAAACTGTATTGTAATGGTTTTAGATACAACTATAAAACCGGAAGAGACCTGTACCACTTTCTGTAGTCAACTTCCAGATATCAGATCGGCACTTGTCTGTGATTTATACTGCCCTCAGTATCAACTACATAATTTCATAGACTTTATAAAAGGGTAAATATTCCAACCGTTCTGCCCTTATCTTACCGTCTTGTTTTAGGGCAGATTTTCCAAGCTTCTTCCAGAACTATGACAATTAGCTTTATTTGACAACTCTTTAGCTTAAATAATATATCCAGTCACACACGCGGGCTAACTTTCTAATCTTCGAAAATATGTCCTGACATCAGCTATTTTATCATTCAATCCAAGAAGCCCTCAGATATGTAAACATCTGGTTTCTCTCTCTACCAATTTATCCAAGTCAACTACAGTTTCCTCATTTGATTGCAACCGTTTATTTTGTATGTGTACTTCCCGATCGCTAAATAAATATTGATAATATAACAAATGGACTATTATTTAAATAGGTCTTACAATGACCCTATCTTCTACTGTCAACAAGCTAAAGAATGTTTTGGACAAGATGGTGGTATGGTGCATGTTGTCAATGCTACACTCTTCCCTAACAATGGAAGCGAAGGTACGTCAGATGTTATTCCCTGTATATCTTTTTACCTTGGGAGCCAATCTGTCGACTGCATTCCCTTAAATGATCTTTCCTGGATCATCTTACTTACACGTCAATTGTGAACACTGCTCTAGGTTATGATACGTTTACCAACACAGTTGCTGAGTAGCATCGAGTGTTCTGGTATTCATGGAGGATCTTAAATTCCTCTGGATTAAGATCTGACAACATCGGAGTCATGTCAACCCGTAGATTCATCAGCATCCAAGAGATGTATTGATCTTGGTCTTTTTCTTTTGTAGTTTACAGATTTTTAGAATTAAGATATGAGATCACCAAACCTATTAATCCGGGACAGTATAAGATTATGGTGAAAACTGTCGATGGGTTCCCTGTCCGTAAGTTCTCGATAAAAAAAAGTTTCCTATGGCTTTTTGAGCAGGTGCTGCCAATCAAATAGTGCCATTACAAAGATTATAGTCTTCGATTGATCAGGAGGTTAGAGCTTTGGAATCTTCCCTTGACGTAGTTTGCTGGATCACGTTAAACAAATGGTTGTCGTGGGTTCTAATCGCGGTCATTTACTCATTATTTCAGTTGTGAATCTAATTTGTATAGTTGTTTCTTTCTTTTCTTTTTCTTTTTTGTTTTGATTCAGATATGGAGAGTATCAACACTGTAACAGATCCAGGCTTATATGCTGTACAGTTTTTCATACAAACATCTAGATCGGCTTCCTGTCACCCTGAAGTCAAACCGTGTGAGACTTGGGTACCAGGTCGCTATGTTGTAGACTACAGTAAGTATAAACACTTCAACATTTCTCTATCCAATCTCGGGTGCTCTTTAAAGGGGTATGGACGCTGATGCTATTCAGCAATTTTAATAAAGCCCAAAAAAGTAGAACATAAAACTTCTATTTATTTTAGTAGATCAAATGAGATAAAGAAAAGTAAGACATAAACCTCTTTTCAAGAGATGAAAATATTAAGGTTACAAAATTAAAACGCAAAACTCCATTTCGTTAGTAAGAGTTAATTGAACAAATCATCTTGCAAGTTTTAATATCAATTGATAAATTTTCGTTTCCAGAATTATGTGGGTACGAGTGTGACAGTAAGGCACCGACAAGAGAGGATTATTTCCAGGGTCAAGAAAGTTTCATTATTGACCAAGTGTGAGTTCAGGGTCATGGTTTGTTTTAAACCCACATTACACACACTCACGTATAGATACATATTCATAGGATAACCGGGAGGATGTTTTCAGAGATATTGTTACTTTTAAATAAATGTACATAAGCCATCAATAACCGTAACTTTAATTGTTTTTAAAAAATAAAAATTTCCCATTGACTAATGGACAGTTCTGTGTCCAGTTTAGCCGGCAGCAAATTCAGCTCAAGTGGGCAATATAGAATGGAAAGGCACACAGTTCTTGTTATCGCAGTTATGGGCGCCTCGCTGTACATGCGATGTTTCACACCTACAAATCCCAAGTCCGAAACATTTGCCTCAATTTAAGCCTCTAAATCTCCAGTCGACAACTGTTCAAATAGCTACCAGAGGCTGGACTAGAAGCAGATGTTTCGGACGAACAAAGCCTTTGTCAAAAGTTGACCTTATTGCTCTCTGCGTGGTGTTGTCCAATCAGAAAAGTAGTATGTTTCATTTCAATTTCATCTAACTTGAAATTAGGTTAGTAAAGATTCTAGAACAGCCTAAATATAGTCCAGCTCAAAGATAGGCTAATCGTTGTCTAGTACACCTGCCGAGTTCCACGGACACCACGTGACTTTATCTTTAAAATTTAAAATAATTCCTGACTATTCCAAGCTTCTTAACCAGTATATCAGAGAACACGATGAAGGTAAGGTCAAAATACAGGGCTTGCTTACTTCTTTGAATACCAAAAGGTGATTAATGGTGGTTCATTGTTGTACTAATATCTGTTTATAGAAACACCAAACCATTCCAGAGGATGGTCGACTGTTGCACTTTCGTCTGTTTATCGAAACATGCATCAAATTAATCTGGATTATCCTCTAGCGATAGTTCGCTGTTGTACACTAGTCTGCTATGAGAAACATCAGGCATCGCCTATTTTAAGTGTTTTATTTCAAAGGATAGCCTACTGTTATAATTATATCAGACCTTATACATATATAAACTGATAATAAAAACAAATCAAAAGGACGAATTTGTGATATAAAAATCGCTACATTTCGACGCAAATTTTTGGAGAAAGGTTAACCTAATATCTTAACTTTTCGACAAAATACCATCATTATGTTTTAGAGCGTATTGTTAGTTTTGGGATTAATTGCTGTACCAGCCGTTGTGGGGTATTTGCAGCCTCTGAAGCCCCACGCCAAATCCCAAGTGGTATCGTTACCGCAGCACATGAAAGTCGGGTTAGATTTATGTCCAACATGTATCCAATTCACTGGAGAAGCCATCAACGAACTTCTTAACATTGTACTGAGTAAGTATTTCAACATTGTGGAGAGTGTCTGGTCAGACAGTGCAGAATCAGTCCATCGATACACCTAATGCGTATTCACATTGTTTCTAAAGAGCAGAGCATAATCACATTTTCAGCTACTTTGCGATCGGGTAGTTCCACTCGAAATCAAACTAGATAAAATTATTTAGTGTCCTAAATTTTGGTATTCTTCTTTGTGATAGTCTGGGTTTTGAGATGAAATGAAATGTTTTCGTCGTTTGTCTCAAGATAATTTCATGGGGAATACCACCAGGTCAGTTTTGACGATTTTGATGGCATACGATCTTTGTTTCAGATTTGGGTGTGGTTGGATCCTGTGGTAAAGTGTGTTCACTCCTGGAACAAAAAACCGGAAGTGAAGCTCTGGGCTTAGTTTGTGACTTACTGTGTGACTATGTCGGTATTGATGAATTCGTCAAGTTCATCCAAAAGTAAGTCGAAAACATCGGTTCTTGATCTTTAACAATCCGAGACTTACTGACAGGCTCTAATATTTGGCCATCATAGTCATTTAATAATCTGGAACTTGGGAATATATCTAAAAGAATTCTCAAAATTCCCAACTGCTGTCCGAAAATATATACACCTGGCCTATGGATAGACATTATTGACAGGCTTAAGACTTCCTTGTGGTATTTCGCTTTCGGGTCTGGTAGTAAGGCTTTTTGTGATAGTGCCAATTGCAACCTTTTTCTCGATTAGCTTGATCCAAAGTGGTCTTTCGGGAGAAAAGAATGACACAACAACAAGCATATAAAGACCATTTGAATCCTTTTTACTCAAATAATGGTTCACTATAAACTGAATTTCTTTCCTTTCTTGGGAAAATGATTTGTAAATAATATGTCTTTTTTATTTTCAGGGCCGATTTGGACCCTTTCTATTTCTGCGAATTAGTCAAAGTTTGTCCAATTTTTGAAAATGGTGACGCTGAAATTACCGAACTTTCTGTGACACCAGCCAGTGGACCTCAAGGTAACGTCAAGGTACTATCACATTTGGCACGTCCCTGCAGTCCCGTAAAACAGGGTGTATTGCAGAGCGCCAGCAGAACTTTCACTGTGGATCGCTCGATTTTACCCTGTCGAAATCAAGCTAATATAATTTTGTTATGATGCGTTTCCGTTGTTTCAGGACAAAAGACAATTGCCTTCTCCTATACCTCCAAGAACGGAACAGGAACTGGTGAAATGATTGTCGTCGTTGAAACTGTTGATGGTTTACCCATTGGTAGGTTTTCGTGTTCCTTTAATCCTTTTTGTCCAACTGTTCCTACCATATTCAACAGGGGCAATTTAGGAATGACGGCGACATGAGTTCATGTAGTTACAAGACCCACCAAGGATTCAATATAGTAATATTCATTTATGTTTCTTTGTGCTGTAATATCGTTCTGATGTTGATGCTCACGTGGGCTACTTAACTGTGATTTGATCTCTTTTACTGCAACTTCGTCACGATTACAAATGACATCAATATTGGTTTCATTCTGTAACTTTTCCAGAAACTGGATTCATTCATGATCAACAACCAGCTGGATCTTATCCTTCCCAATTTAATCTGAAAGCCGAAGTGGATCCAAACTGTGATCCAACACAAGGTTTCTGTGAACAATGGTTACCTGGAAATTATACTGTTAGAGTTGGTAAGTTCTGTTCTGCTGATACTTTTCTCTACCTCACCTGCTACACTCATAATTCATAAATATGTAAACGCACAGGGATTATAAGTAACGGTGTCGTTAGTCTGAATTTCCACAATACGTTTTTTGATTAATTACTAAGAGCCATACGTCCGATTTGTATTCCAGAATGTACAACGCATCGATGAAACTGTGCTTGTCTGTATATCCTTCTAATTGTGAAATGTGGTCAATACGAGCTCTGAAAGCTGATAAAGTAGATACCTACATGACTAGATTACATCGCTCTCAAAAGTGATATTAAAAGTTTTAACTCAGCTCTATCAGCAAAGCAAATATTTACATTACATTCCCTAAACCTGTATGTTTGTTTTTCAGATGTATGTTATGGTGAGTGTGGCAGTGCCCATCCCCACAGTAAAATCTACGACAGAAAACAGACCCAGTTTATCATCACACCTCAGTAATCTTCTCGTAATAAAATATATTTCATAGTTTACACTGCGTATTAAAGTTCCCCCACCCTCTCTAATAGATCTCCCTCTTGTCCAAATTTAGAACATTGTGGTCTTCTCTAACAAATTATAAAATACCAGGAATCAAGATAATGTACAATTCTGCCTTAAATTTATACAACTTATACATCTTCTGACACTCTTTCAATGTAGACAAAACTCAAAATTTTGATCTAATGGCTGATTGACTGAAGAACAGAGCGCCGGATTTCAGTTCTAAAAATGCTAGGGTTCGTTTAGTTCAGGCTGACTGTTAAAAATGACAGGCAACTCTATGCTCTCAACACACAGCAAACGTCAAACTTTACAAACTATGTCCATCTGGTAGACAAAGTTTTTTCTGCGGTGAGAATGAAGTGAACACAATTACTAAAATATACATCTCAATCTTTGAAAACATCCTCGGTTTTGTTGGACGAGTCCTTTCGTCCAAACAACACAACTCGTTTCACGATTGATTCCTCCCAAATGGTTGGTGATGAAGCTTTTGTCACTTTGGCGGCTGAAAAAAATTACAATTGTTAAAAACTTGATCGAGTAAGTAGGGAGAAGGTTGACAGGTCCGATTCTATAATATGAAAAATCGTTTCAGGCCATCATTTTTCTTCTGAAAATCACTTCACATTGGATAAATCCGATATAATAGTTTTACATGCTATGGTGGCTGAAGTCTCTGGTGCCCAAATCCATACAACTCTACAAGTTTTAGTCATGATTAGTGCGCACCCCAATCAACCAAACAACAAGTCAACTTTAATGTGGTCTAGAAGCAGTTAATGTTTACTTTAGACAGAATACAGTATGATATGATACCTGTCTTTTGTCGAAGCTGTACGTAGGCAAAGAGAGACTGGATGATAGAGGCTATGGCTGCTGAAGAACTCAGTGGAGTCCATTCTATAGTTCTATAGGTTAGGCATGGACCGCCATTGTCTACATTCTATGTTCGTATCGCACTTTTTAAAGGGACAGTTGCGCCAGTATGAGGGTTGTTTTGAGTCTTGAAAATATGAAAATAGTCTTCAAAAATACTAGAAATGTACGAAAATCAATTCCTTTAAAAATATCTCAGACTAGGAATTTTACTCATTATTTCTATATATATATGTCTTTTCTTTTTATCACAGAGTATCTTAAAATGACGACTCGTAATTCTTATATTCAAACACGGATAATTCTTGACGTACATGAAATGGAAGGCTCAAATTAGTCAAAGAGATTGACTCTGTTGTCCCTTTAAATGCTAACGCCATGAAACTGAATGACCTATCAAAGACAAATGTCTAAAAGAGCCGTTAATTGCAGAGATATCAATCCAATGCTGTAAGATAGCCATTGAGTGACACCAATTGAATATGGGTATTTGATGATTACAATCAATGGATCGTCGAACTATGTCAAATACGCGATTTTAATCCATAAAGATTATATTTCTACACAGAACAAATAAATCAGTTGATATTCGCCATTCTAATCTTTAAAATGGGTACGTTATTGTACAAGAATTTGGTTACGAATTACCTGAGCTTAATTTGTCCCAACTTGGATCGGTTTTTGATTGCCGCTTATCATACAATGTCCATAATGTACATCCAGCTACATTCCAAGCAGCAACAAAATATAATATTGACGAATACTTTCTAAACCGTCCAAAAAGTGTTGTGGGATTCCCATATCGAAACCTCTGTTGATGTTTTAGCCTCATGGTACCCACGAAGACAGGAAAACCAAAACAAATTAGTCGAGATTATAAGGACTGATATTTCTAAGGTGCTCCCTATAAGTCTACATCCAGTAGAAAAACACACTGGATAATCTTGATATAACGAAGAAAGGAAATGGCGGTACAGATAAACATTGATAATTTTGACAAAGTTTCGAAAGCTTCCTGTCATCTTATGCCATGTGAAATTCATTGCAATGCAGAGGCGAATGTTTCTAAATATTTTGAGTCAACAATTAGAACGGAAGCCGAAGGTACATATTGTTAAGAATTTGATTTATCTATCTACTTTCATTTTTTGCATTCAGACCACAAATAGATTCCCCTTCGGCAGAATAATAATATGCATCATTTAAATGAAGTGTAAGCCTTGGTACCTTTGATCTTAATTTACTTGCTTTAAAAATATTCTTGTTGCTTGTTTTGTGCCAGTTAATATTTTCATCCAATCTATTGCAGGGTTGACAGCCTCTATGCATGGTCGTCCTTTAAATGGGGAAAAAGTGACAGTACCAGAAGGCTACACAGGTATCTTTCATCTTTATCATAATATTATCATATATGAGGGTTGAGCAATGTATGAAAGTCCATGGGGACATAAATAAAGCAGACTTTGTGCATATCAGTGTACGGTACAGTAGAACCCTCTCAACTGCCCTAATTTGAAAGTATGGTTTAAGTCAACACATAATTTGATAAATGAAAATCTCTACAACCCCTCTTAACCACAATCTTAATAAACTAGTCTGAAATGATGAATCCATTGTGAATTAAATGCTTTAAACCAGTACCTTTTCACAGGTTGCAAAAACTATTTGACTCAAATCCATCCATATCAAATGAGAGGCGACCAAAATATGTCTAATTTGTAGGTATGGTAGTTGGTGAATTAAGAAAACCTGCCACAGAAGATGAAGACAGACAGTTTGACATCAGATCAAAAATGACAGAATTTACCTACTGGAATCTTGATAAAGGAACCTCCAAAGAGGATAAACTTTCTCAAGCTTTACAATGGATTGATATAGCAAATATTGTAAGTATGCTCCCCCTCTTTAACTTAATATGCTTATCATAATTCCTCTTATCTGTGGAAACCCTTCTTGAATACCTGATGACATTGGTTTGTCAACGCTGCAGAGAGTCCACTCAGTCACAATTTATATATGTGGTATTTTCATTCCAGATTCACAGTCCGATTAGTGAGGAATTGAGTCAAAAAAGTGTGACAGGAAAGTAATGGAATTTGTATACCGGAATCTTATAAAAGGCAGCCCTTAAAGGGATTCAGTGGTGGCTTCAGGAACTTTTTATCTGTGTCTGTTAGAGCATCTCTTTGCACCATTCTGACTTTGACTCAAGTGTCTGTATCTCTTAAATTCTCCTAAAAAAATTACAAGATTTTGACGTCACTATCGCAAATGCTCTTCAAACCAAGGAACCACTTTGAAGAAAAATCAGAATGGTGCTTACGGAAGCTTTACCTGTGTCACTGATACACATAAACCATATTTTGAATTCCTGAAAAGTTGAAGTTGGAACTGAACAGTAAGGCATGAATAGGGCCAGTATTTAAGAAATCAGTTACAGACAAGAACAGAAAAGTCTGATTTTATTGCATAGTGAAAAATAATAATGTACAAAATGTGAAATTAAAACTTTTAAAAACAAAATAAGTTGCTTTCTTTTTTACCGGTAGTTACAATGTACATGTCCATAAAATAATTATGCAATAGTTTTCCATTTTTTCCACTTCTTTTGTTTTTCAAAAATACTACATTTGTGGTACAGAAGATTAGCAAATTCATATTGAAGCAAAGATTTAATACACATCTGAAGAAGTTGGCTTGAGTTCGTGTAGTTTATGTACTAGTTTCTATATGTTTGAACATACCATAACTACGTGAAATACTCTTGATAATGGTTTGAATCACCATAAATAACTTTGATCATGTTAAACAAAATTTGGCTTGTGGTTTGTGATGGTTCATTCATGACATTATAATATACATATATAGCACTATATTGGTATTTAAGCAATAAATTATAACAAGACCATGCTTATTTTTAAGCCTGATAATAGCTTAATTTAGTTAGTCTATGAGAGTAAACCAAGCTCCTGGTTTGCCATTCAGATGATTTTGAAAGTGGACCGTTTATCTGCGTATGTTTGACTTTGAAATAACTATATCATAGTCTTAAATCCATAGTTAGGTTTCAGAGGCTAAGCTAGAGATATTAAAGTTCAGATTAGTTTGGAAGCTGATTTTACTATTATACGTAAAACAAACAAGACTGGACTAAATTTTGAGCCTAGTTTTGCGAACTAGATTTTTAAGACCCAAGAACTCTGGTTCTGCTAATATCACAAAAGAAATAACATTACGGCTGTTCCATTATGTTGTACCTCCTCCCTCTGATGGCTGCATTGACATTTCTAAAGCAATTCTTAACATTTCATCTTCATTTTCTTCTTCTAAAAACACAACAAAATCTCTTTCAGTTTTCTATTCCACTCACCATGCCCTTCATTGATATGGCTTGCTAGGCAAGATAACATATACCCACTATTAGCTGTCAGAAATGCTAGCAAAGTCTTAATTGGTTAAATTAATCAATTTCGATTAATCTTAAAAAAATATTTATAAGTAAGAAAGAAAGAAACAACTATATTTTACAAATGAATTTCCCAAATGGTTTAAAAAAGAAAAGGGCAAATTCTTGTAAGCCTCACCTCAAAAAATGAGTTGTAAATTTGTTTAATTGCTGTAACTCTATTTCTTAATATAAATACTGTTGAGAGCAATAGTAAAATCATGGGAAAAAAACATTCCAAGCCATGAGCGTCCACTGTGCTGAACTGGCTTCTTAATTTGGCTTTTTAGTTTTGGGTTATGTAATTGATAAAGTTTTCTTAATAATTAATCCAATATTACCAGTAGATTTTGACTCAGTAGTATTTGATTGACTCGTATTTGTGGATGGTTTAGTAGAACTTGATTCTTGTGCATCTGTCGTAGCAGTGCTTTGTTTATTATAAAATTCTAGCCGTTTTTGACGAACTTCTTCAATCGATGGAGTTCGAACTTCTGGTTGATTTCCTGCACCACTTGAGGGGTTGACCTCTGGGAAAGGTTCAATCACATATCCTACGAAATAAGTCACAATAATACATTTTATACCAATTAATACTTTCTAGATCATAAACAAGAAAGGAAATATCTGTAATGTATCACATGCTCATTTGACAGATTCCATGAGCTTGCTAAAAAAAAAAATTGCAAATGTGCGCTGATTATTACCCCAGATAATCCAAGTGTTCCCTCAAAATATTGGTCAGTGTCTAGACTTTATTAAATTTATAGTTTCAGAAAATTATAAGTTTGGACTCTTACCTTCCATACTCATTTGTAGAGCCCGTTGAAGAGTTATGTCCTCTTGATCTGCAGCTTGTCGACTCTGTTCTAATGCATCTTGTATATTGCTACTATTACTGTTATCTTCAGACTGGCTGTCTGGGTCTACCAGTAGACTTGGTTTCACTGTCTGTACTGCAGGTATTAACTTCAATAACTGATCAGCCTCACAATCTGGTATTCTTCCTTTTATGACAAATATTGAATATCCTAAAACAAAAGAACAGGAAAGGTGAAAAAAGGTAAAATTTTTACTTAGTTCATTATACTGGAGATAATGTTAATAAAGTTTTGATAAATATTTAGATATCAATGTCTGTTTAATGCTCTAGTGACATCTAAGGTGCAAAAAGGTTTGAGGTTTAGTTTATGGACAAAAGTGAAACCTGATGTCAATTATTACCTCTCTGGCTCTCCCCTCAATTAACCCTACCCTCTTTCCCCACTTTCCCTTCACTTCCCTTTACAACTTACCTTCCTGTTGTAATTGTGTTAAGAATAAAGAAAGATAGGTGTCAGATATTAATTCAGGACCAGTAAGTAATGAATTCAAATTAAACCATTGATTTCCCAATTTTCGTATGGCAAACCAATGTTGACGGAAATTACAGATAAAGGCCCTCTGGTTTCTGAAATAAAATAGATTGAATATTTTTGGTTTTTGAAAGATTTGCAGAACTTTTAAGTATCATAAACTTCCATAAAATTTCACGATACACTTCATAGTATATTTTAAGTGATATAAAACTCAAGTATTACATTAGATGTGACATGATTTCAAATGGAAAGCCCATTTCAAATTGAAGAATATAATCAAAACAAAACAGTCTATAACCTTACGTAGGGTTATTCCTAGCCTCTGTGGCCTGATCACTTGGACTGTTATATGGAATCATATCCAACCCCCATACTTTTAGAGCATTGGAAATTACTTGTACAGAGAAAAAACCACTGTCATCAAAATTACTTGATGGTTGCTGAAATATACATCATCAAGAATCATCAACAACAGAATAATTTTAAATACCAAGACTATCATTCATTTCAGGCAATATGTAAGCTTAATTATGAATGTAAGTAATTGAATGCAAATAGATAAACCTGTAAAAATTGTTGATATTCCTGAGTATGAACACCTCCTTCCGCCATATATTCTCTCTCTTGAACGTCGAGTCTCTCAGCAATCTGTGCCAAATCTACAGCCGAGAAATACTGATCTTGAAGCAAGGCATTTAAACAGTGCTGAGCACACAGTGACCCTTCTTGCTGTAATCAAATCAAATGGAAAGAACAGTTTAGCAAAATAAACATGGAAAATTTAACATAGACATAGTCTTTTCATATCAATCTGACACTTCTTACCATTGATAATGATAGCTTATTTTAGAGGCTTGTAAGGGTCAGCACAATAGGATTTTAGTAATTAATGTCAAGATCATACTGATATAACCAGTATCATTAGGCCTAGTTACTTAATAATGATAATGTAACATTTGTGACAATTTGACTCATGAGTCAATGACAACGTACTGGTTTATTACAACGAAATTTTATCAGAACAGAAGATAGATAACCAATTAATCATTGTATATGGACCATCAAAATGTCTTCTTCTAGCAGACAATGTCGTCTGCCATTTACAATATATGTTCAGAAAGACCTTATTACCTTTTCGTGAAATATGTGCTCCATTTTATTAAACAATTTACAGATGAATTAGCTCTATTCTTCTTTTAACTACTGTAAACAAACGCCATTGAAGGGAAACAACTCTATTTCATTTCAGACTACAACTAATTCTCATAAAGAATTCAGACCATAACTTAGTCTCAACCCTATTATGAGAGTTATCGGTTTTTGTTTTGTTTGGGATTATCCAGCCGTTGTTACGCCCTCCGACAACATTTCTCAATAAACTTTTTTGTTTCACTTTTAAAGTTGTTTGTATCTAAACGACATCAAAATGAAGATTCCAGATATTCAGTTATTTGTGCAGGCATTGTTGTACTTGACTATATTCTTCCTGGGTTTTACAGTGTCAGTGCCCTTGGGGCTTTTTCAGGTTTGTTCATTGTTGTTTTTGAGAGCTCTTTTCCCAGTGGCGAGGCAGAGAGGTCCGTTGTAGAACCACCAGTGTAGAAAGGCATGTTCAACCTTCTTAAACACCTGATATCACTGACACTGTGTTTTCTCAGTTATATTCCATTTTGCTATCTTTTTTTAAGACATCACTCAGTGAGCTTTATAATGTATGATCCTTATATTTTATAGTAATATATCAAAAAAGAAGGCATCAAACCTTTTTGTTCTACTTTATCTTTAACCTAAATCAATCTCTTCATTAAATTGTAGATGGACTTCAATGGCAAATGTATGTTATACGCAGAAATTGATTGGAAGAATGCCACATTTTTTGTAATCACAGAAGGAGAAAGTATCAATTGCCATTTTACGATCTATTTTAATGTATTTGCCTGTATTTTATTTGCTCTGGGAATGTTCGCATACTATGGGTACGCAGTTTTAAGAAGAGATCCAGACATAGGGTAAGGAATATATCCCATTGAGTTACTGATTTTAACTTTTTACGTATAGCATATGCTAAAATAAGTTAGCTGTCTGAAGATCGTACAGTGTTAAACTGTTCTGTTTTAACATTTATAAGCTTACATCAATGTGGATATCCTTTGCTTTTATTTGCACAAGGGGAAACTTTTATATTTTTTGATTGAATATTTGTTTAGTTTATAGCAATATGCTCAATTGCTCATATTGTACCAGTATGCATTCCTTTGATTATTTTGAAAAAGTTATTTCCATGACCTTTCTCTGATATCTATTAAATTTCTCTAGCTTAACACCATAAACTACTTGTCTCATGATTTTATGACATAAAAATGACCAAAATTGTATTATTCCTGTCATTCTGTTTTGTATTTCAGATCTCAGATGTGGGTGATGCCATTTGTATTAATCAGTGCAGTGATGTGTGTGGTGGAATTTATAGCTGCATGTATTATCAGTGTGGGGTATAAGCAGCTCTGTAGTGGACTGGCCGATAACTCAAAAAAACTCAGGTACAATCTCACCATCTAGAGTTTTCAAGCTCTGTGAGTAAATGTCAGACATTTTTCCGTGAGAGCTGAAAATGCATTTTTATCAACTAATTGTCTGAAAAGAAAGTAGATGTTCAAATGAAATATTCATGAAAGTGTTGTAAACATTTTCTTAAGCTTATTTAAAGGCTTATATTTACATCTCAGATATTAGTATATCACTTCCAGGCTTCATTTCAATTACTTGTTCTATGCCGACCTCTGCACATGTTTACTTCTGATTTCAGTTGTTCAAAAGTAGCAGAATTAACCAAATTTCAAAATGATTACAATGGAAAACATATTATACCCTATCTCACAGCTGCTCAGGTTAGTCCTTATATTGTTAAATTTCAGATCCTTAAGTTAGACACTTATGAGAGCTACTTCCAGATTTATCATTTATATATTGGACATTCCCTTTCAGATGATGGTTTTGTAACTACAATGCAGGCATTTTTCAATCATAAAAACAGTGATTAAAATAGTGTCATTGTGTAAAATGGAGCCTGGGGTTTCTGACCATTGTCAATATACTAAAGGAAGTAACCTCATAGAAGTTATCTGATCAATATTTGGCATGGCCTTTTAAAGATTTATCTTACCTTCTATTTTGCAGACTGCAGGTTGGATATGTTTTCTGTGTTGGGCTGTCCAGTGGGTTCTAGGAATTATCAGGTTTGTGCGGAATCGTAGATCACGGTCTGGGGCTTTCAATGATTCTGTCAATTCAAGCAATGCTGACACAGCTAAAATTGGTGACATACAGCCAACAGCCTAATTTAAGGTAAGTATAACAATAGTTGATGAAAGATATGTGTGGGCTTCAATGTTTAAATATTTATCAAAAATAGTAAAGTCTAGCTCACATAGTTTTGATAATATTAAATGGCTTATATTTATATTTTAAACAGATATCCACATCTTTGCTTGAATAAATGAGTAAAATTAATTAATGACTGTTTTTATATCTTTCTAAGTAGAAGTATATTTTCTTACCTATATTCTGTAGAATTCACAGTTTTTCTTTTTATGTACCTTTTACATGACATGTAAATAAGCAGCAGGGTTGTTGATTGGGCTGTATTTGCCAGACATGATCAGCAGACTGACCCAAATGTTATAAAGTGAACCATAAAATAAATTTTTTTGATGTACTAAATGAATACTAAAGTTTGCATCTCTCAAAATTTGTTTATTTCAGTTATTATAAAACCTAGTCAAAGGGTTTTTTTCACAGTATCAGAGCAGCATGTCAATATTGCCTGAAAGTGCCTTCTATTACATTCCATTATTATTGCCTTGGTCAAAAATTAATATCTTTTGATAACATATTTATCATGTTGCTTGTTAGTTAAAATTTTTATTTTTGGCCTGTTTGTTGCTTGCTGTATTTAAATCATGTTAATTGTATAATCATGCATGAGATTTGATCATGTCCGCGCAAGATTCAAAAAATAATTACAAACAGTCCATTTTTAGTTTAAGGTACTTTAAGTAGTAGTGAGCACAAAAAACGTCACACTTATACAGCTCAATTACTATTTAATTCACCCAGAAATAAAATGGACAGCATGTGTTTAGATTTGGACCCAGATGTTTTCTAATATCTTTTCCGGACTTGACCACAATAGTATGTTATATTATCAAACAAGTTCTTTAATCTTATTAGATAAGATAAGGAAAAAACTTACATTATATACAAAATTCCATATTATTCGTTCACTAACAAAAATTATTTCATAATACATATATAATATGTCATCTATTAAATGACAAAGTAGTCTGAATAATTGCTTTATTAAGCCACATAGCTCAATTTCAACTATAAGCTTCACTTTTCAGATTTCAAGTCTGACATCTTGTTCTTCTGTAATTGAGCTTTATCCCCTGTTAAAACAACTATTCAGATGACTACGCCCTTTTAAACTTAGTATTTATATGTTGAATTTTTATTAATCAAAACTTCATATCAAAATTTTATTACTTGATGGGATACAGTTGTCTAAGTATTGGTTGAACAATCAGATGCATCTGAATTTTAGCTATCTGTTGCACCTTTTCATGAAAAACGAATTTATCCCCTGCATTTTATAAGACATGCTTATTTAAAGATCATTAAATCTAGAATTCTGCTTGTTTTGCAAAAATTTCCTGTTTACACCTTTTAAGTTTCATGCATGTGTTCATATTTACAAAACAAAACATAAAAATGGCTGTGTACAAGTTGATTGGAAAGTTTGATAATCAAATTCATGTACTAGCAATTCAGACCAAAAGGTAGCAAAACTTACACACTTTCACTCATTCATATGTGAACAAGTGCCAAATTTAAGGAAGCTAAAATAGTATTGATAGTTTCTGAAATTCTTTGGGTGGCTTCATCTCCACTGAAAAGCTAGACAACAGTATCCCTATAAACAAATTATTTACTAATCTTTTGATTACTTTTATATCATAACAATGCTTGTTGTTAATTTGCATAATATTAGTTGTTTGTAAATACTTTATATAAAAATATAAATTTATAAATTAAGATCTTACAGATACAGAATTTACCTCTAATTAACTAAATAATTAATTACCTCTGATTAGTAGATTATAGAAACACAAGGCATCAGTTCACTTTGAATTATATTCTAGAATCTAGAGATAGTCAACTGTTATACTGTTAGCTGTTAATAGAAAACCAGGAATCATCTAAATATATGATATATGCCAGAGGGGGGCCACTTTTGTCTGGGTTGTATTCTTGAAGGTGGTCCACTGACGTACTATTGTATGTTTATAGAAACACCAGACATCACCTAATCTGGGTTATATTCTTGAAGGTGGTCAACTGATGTACTATTGTCTGTTTATAGAAACACCAGACATCACCTAATCTTGGTTATATTCTTGAAGGTGGTCAACTGACGTACTATTGTCTGTTTATAGAAACACCAGACATCACCTAATCTTGGTTATATTCTTGAAGGTGGTCAACTGACGTACTATTGTCTGTTTATAGAAACACCAGACATCACAACTCTGGGTTATATTCTTGAAGGTGGTCCACTGACGTACTATTGTCTGTTTATAGAAACACCAGACACCAACTAATCTGGGTTAATTTTTTTAAGGTGGTCCACTGATGTACTATTGTCTCTTTATAGAAACACCAGACATCACCTAATCTAGGTGCGCCTGCATAAGTTAAAAAACATGAATTACGATTTTTAATGAGTTTTTTCTATTTGCATGATGAATACCTGCATAAGTTAAAAATTTTGATAGAATTGATAATTTGAATCAGACATCATTATCCTGTATAAAGCATTGTTTGTTTGTTGTTTGTATTACTCTGTTTATTGTTATTGTTTATTTATCGTAGTATTAATCTTTTAATAAAAATTTAAAAAAAAGCCCGATATGTTTATGAAAAAGGAAATGTGATTGGGCATTGGCACGTTCCTGTCTTACGAACTTTCGCCTGAAATTCCATTGAGAGTGAATTCCCTCACCCCAGGTGTGCTTGGAATCTTAGTGAAAGTGAACGACGACTTATACTTAGGTATTGACAGGAGTAGCTTTGTTTTGATTATCCCGTTATCGTATTTTCAATTTTGTCTAAATGAATACGATACATTGTTTGATAATTCAGTACAGACTAATACCTTTGGCATAACCAACGACAAGATCATCGACACCGACAGCGTTATGCCATTAATTTAAAGTTCATCCATTTGTAGTGGTGTAAAAACCGAGGTCCTAATTGGACATTTCCATGGTATTTCGACAATACCATTATTCAAAGGGACAGTTTCGCCATCCGTTTGACCATTCTCAGATCTTTTTTTAGTTAAGCAAATCAGTAATAGTGTTCACAGTTCAACGTCGAAATTTGAGCCTTCAGCATCATGTGTGTCCAGAATAATACCATTAATCCAGGAAAAACCATTACAAAATAGTACTTAACCAAGTTGACAAAGTATAAAGAACAACCAATTGCACATGAGAAAATGTGACACCGAAATTTTACACTGAACTGAAATGGCTTATACAGATTCCGCATGTGTAAATTGAGCAAAAAATGATAACTTTTTATTTGAACACCAAAGACCACAATTTCCACAGGTGTAAAATAGGACACCGTCCATGTGATGGTTGTAGACAGTAAAGATGCAGTAAATGACAGGATCGGGTTTGAAATGGCTTGAATCTTCATGACAGTTATTATTAAACACATTATTATCATTCTCATAAATTATACCTCAGTTTGTTTCTGTTGATGACTACATTGAAACTACACCCTAACAATGTTTATTACCTGACCTCTAATTACAGGTAAGAACATATTTTTTCTTCGATAAAGTATTGGGGTTGCTAGCCCAACAAACCTGGTCCTACCCGTTCCTGTACGTGCTATACGGATGGGATATCAGCACGCAGAGCAGGTAAAGCCAGATTTGTGTAGGGGTAGGAGGAAGTAGGGTCCAAGATATCAAAGCGACGCAAGTTGTATATAACTCGCAGTATACTTGCACTTCCTGCTACCGAAAGCACCACATAACTATGTGAGACCACAATTCTGGTCATTTCAACAGCTTCTTTTAGATAGTAAAGTTCTTGAACAAACAGCTATCATAGAAAGGTTTGATTCACGAAGTTTCCGACGAGGCCAATTTTTACAACCTTTTAAATAACGAATATCTTTTTTTTTTTACCAGATAACATCTTAGTTACGTCGTTTAGCAGATTTTATGATATCGTTTGTCTTTTTACCAGATTTGCCATGTAATTTTATGATTCTTGTTTAATAATTTAATGGATCGTTTCTTTGAGAAGATTATTCGTTTCCCATTCCGCTCTTTTTCAGATCATCATGACTAGAGTTCATGTGATATTGGTTCTAATTGTCCTAGTTAGTTACCATTCTCAGTTTTCTTTGGCAGCGGATAAAAATATAATCAAAGTTTTAAGAGTGCTACAAAACCGACCACCTCGTCAACAGAGTCGACAGCTTCCAAACGTTATCATCCCTAAATCTAGAATGGAAACCAACAGGCGGGCAACACCGACCATGGACATCGCCTCATGGCATGTGAAAATTTGGAGAATTGAGCGATTGATCATGAAACGAAATCTGGATATTTTACGTCGCCTGGCGTACAGGGAAAAAATTCTTCGTTCAAAAATGAAGCAAAGTGACTTGTTGTTAAAATCTGTGTTATTTAAACCAATTTTATTGAGACCAGTTTATTTCTTATGCCATGGAACTCATCGGAAACTTATCCAGATAATGACAGTTAAGGACAATGTATTTTTGGTGTAAAGGTTTCTAGTGAGGCGCAACTTTAAAGGCCAAGGTTTTTAATTTTGATGGAGGTTGATTTGGGCCTTGATTCGAATAAGGAGTTTCCCTTTTTGTTGTAGCACTAAAAATTGGGAAATAATGTGTACGGAAAAGATTATGATTATCCATTTGTAACCTATCTACATTCCGAATTTTCAATAATTTAATCGGATGACACAAAAACTTTGAAACCAATCTAAATGACTGATCAGATACACAAACAAAGTTGTGGAAAAAGAACTATTCAAAAGTCCAGCAATACCTAACTGAAAACAGCCAACTAGCAGAGGCAGCTTAACAGAGGGTTCACAATGCCAATTTCTAAAAGAACATACGGGTTGAACCGGAACGCAATTTTTTGGGTAGTTTCAAAGCCTGTTTTTCAGATCACTTCCTAGATAGGTTAAAGTGAGCCATACGAAGCTTGCAAACCGTTGTTTTAACTAACGAGAATGAAGTCATGCCTGAAAGAGCGTAAACAAGTCCACGGGTAATTTTATGGCCTTTCTCTATGTTTTGTGTTATTTATAACATGCTGTATTCGACATTAAAAATCTGTAAACTTGATTTATAGTAGTCGAGTCTATATCTTCTATGTTCGTAATATTGGCTTGTTCAGTTTGTAAGCCATTCTGTTCGGCTTCCTTCTTAAAGTTGCCGTAAAGTGTCGACAAGGTTCAGAGCGTGAGCGAAACTTTCATTGGGGATTATTCGATGTCATATTACAGTACTATTTGACATGAAAGACCTAGAAAACGTATAATTTCTACTGTATCGATATTCCAACACCTGACAGCTGACACCTCACTGCATCTATTAGGAACTTTAGATTTATTAATATCTACTTAAGACAGTAGTAACAATATCGTCAGCGGCAAATATAATTTG